GTGTGGCTTCCCCCCCCCCCCCCCCCCCCTCTGAGAAACGTTGTCCAGTTTCTAATTTGGAGGTTTTTTATTTTTTATTTTTTATTTTTTTATTTTTTTGTGCGTGAGATATGAGCTCGTTTGGATTATAGATTAAAATCATTTTCAATTTATGTGTACTTTTTATGAGAGAAAATATTATAGCGAACTATAAACCATAATTCAAATAAAAAACGAATCTTCCAACCAAACGGGCTCATAATGTTTTCTTTTAATTGTGATTTGATTTGTGAGACCTTCTAGATTTTTGAGTAAATAACGTATTTCAGGTAAATACGTATTTATTGGCACTGTGTCGGTGGTTTGATTTTCAAGAAAATTCAATATTATCATGTAAATACGTTATTAATAGGCAAATATGATATTTATCGGTCGTCGGTTTTGATTGTTAAATTTTTAAGTAATTATGATATTTATTAGTAAATATAGTATTTAACAGTCGTCGGTTGAATTTTTAGATAAATATAATATTTATAAATAAATACGTTATTCATTGATAAATACAGTATTTAATAGTTGTTAGAGCCGATTTTTAGATTTTAGGATAAATATGGTATTCATAGGGATTTTTAAGTCAATAGGCCCCAAATGTACACCCATTCAATTCGTAGACCCGTTATAAATGGAATTTCAATTTTCATTTTTTTTATTCCTGGGATAAGAGTGAATGACCAAAATATCCTTAAAAATTATGCCCGATCATATCTTTCTTACTGGAAAGATCGATTGGTAATTTTCTTATAGGGCACACCAGTAAGAACTTTCTGACCGGACTCAGGTTTCTTACCACTCCCACCAGTCAGAACGGAAAGAAATGACAGACGTGAGTTTCTTCGATTTTGCAGATTACTCAACTCCGAAGAGGCCATGGAATAGCATGATTCTTGTTGATTTTTCAAATAAAATACCAAACCACGATTACCTAGCATTCAAACAATGAATTAAGCATAAAAAATACAAGATTTGAGAGAATAATGCTCGAACTGTTAATCACCGTGGATGCCGGCGATTGTCGACGTCGGTAGGGGCATTCTCCGGCGGTGAAAGGCGGCGCCGCCGGTGAACTTTGGCCGGCAACGTTTCCTCGTGACTGCCCAGCGAAGGAGGGGATTTAGCTCCTCCTTTTCAAACGTTTTTTCTTTTAATTTGAGAGAAAAGGAGAAGGGCATTTAGGGAATACACATTTTTTCATTTAATGAAAGACCTACTCATTGAAACTTTCTATTTTGGAGCCTACTCGTTAAACACATTACACATTTTAAGCCTATTTTTCAAAAGGACCCCATTCATAGGTCGTCAGATTTTAGGATAAATATGGTATTCATAGGTCGTCGATGTCGGAGGTTGAATTTTTAGGATAAATATTGTATTTACCGGTAATATGGTATTTTATCGGTCGTGGGTGTCGACAATCGATTTTTTAGATAAATTTGTTGTTTATAGGAAATACAATATTTATTGATAAATGCAGTATTTATCGGTCGTGGCTACCGATCTTTGATCAACGGCGTAGGTTTTGGTTGCCGACGGGCTATGGTGGACCTAACTAGATGGGGAAGGAGAGAGATGGCTAAAGGGTATTTTTGAGTTTTTAATATTATTAAAAGTCTAAGATATAAAATTATGTTATAAACTAATCACCTTATAAAATATGTTATTTCACCATTCACTTTTTAAATTAGACTTTTAGAACATTTACTCTCTAACTTATCGTGGTTTAATAAATTAACTTTTAAACTTTTAATTTTGGTAAGTTACCCGCTCAATTTATAAAGTTATTGTAATATTTTCTATTTTGACAATGATTGTGTTAAATAAGTGTAAAAAAGCACGTTTAGTCAAAAATTTTAACACTCTAATTCAAATCTTTCAACATATTAATTTTTAATCCTTTAAATCTAACAAAAAAAAATTTAAACAAATTTAATTAATAAGAGACCATTTATTAAAATTAAAAATTGAGAGAATAATTTGTTAAATCACCACAAATTCAAGAGAGGTAATTATGCCAAAAAGTCTTTTTAAATTTTCAAACATACAAACTAAACTTGTAAACGGGCCAAAAATTAGTTTCTCAATTCGAGGCCCAAAATCCAAAATAAACAAACAAGTAAAGAAGCAGCGTGCGTTCAAGAGAGGAAAAACGAAAGACAAAGGATTGTTTTGTCATTTGGAACCGATAATGGCAATTGAGATATTTTTCCAAACTAGAGGCGCATATATAAAGAAAAACTCCGATATAAATTTCTAGAGCATCGCCGCTCAGTCATTTCCCTCATCTCTCTCTCTTTCGTTTCTTCTCTTATCTCTCTCTCTCTCTCTCTCGATTGTTTTGTCATTTGGAACCGATAATGGCAATTGAGATATTTTTCCAAACTAGAGGCGCATATATAAAGAAAAACTCCGATATAAATTTCTAGAGCATCGCCGCTCAGTCATTTCCCTCATCTCTCTCTCTTTCGTTTCTTCTCTTATCTCTCTCTCTCT